CAATATGCGTTTTGTACTGCTGTTACACAGCACGAAACGCATAAAAAGGTAATGCATGTGAAGAAACCGCCAGCGCTACTGTACTAATGGCAGAGGCGTACTGGTACAAACAATTAGCGACTGCAAAAAGTGAAAAATTTGAAAAATCGGCAATGCTTATATACCGGAACATATGTGCAGCACTGTGAACGCTGTACATGCTTGTAGGCTCTGGCCGAAGCGGAGGGAAATGGTACTGCTCAATACGATGCATTAGTCTGCTGTATTGATGAATGAAATTTTCAGATCCATGTTGTACCAGCATTTTGAAATTGCGGATGAAATGACCGTCAATATATTCAGAAAACGCAGTAAGCTAACTAATTTCTAAATTTTTGAAAAAAGCGGTTTTCAATAAAAAAATTAGTTGCCGATAAATTCATAATTTTTTATCATGTTTTAGAGCCGATGTCGAGCCCCTTAGCAATCGTTGGTGGAACCGCTACAGCCAAGTAATTTTTTTTAACGCTCAGAATTCCATTTCTTTTTTCTCAGCAATTCAGAATCCTCAATGCACTGCTACTTCGCTTTACTGATCAAAACCAATATTGCAGCGTGCCGCAGGAAGTACCAGAGCAAGTGATTCCCCCACAGCAGCCTCCGAGGCCGTGCCAAGAGGCTGTTTTGCCCGGCAAAGGTGCAATGCAGGTCGTTGACTTGGAGCGATCTGCCGAAGAAAGACTTGCGGAAACGAGAAGTTCTTGCATTCCGGAAATGCCTCAAAAGTTTGATGATTTTCGAGTTTGTCCAAGCTTGGCAGGTTTCCCGCTTTTATCAGCTTCAACCGCTGTGCTGATGGTTCTAGCACTCGCTTCGTTGACTTAAATTTTTGTTTTTTCAAAGAAGAACACTGGTGTGTGCCTTCCATCGCTTTCTGCTTACCAATCTTTGATTATTTGAAAATACTGTCCTCAACGGCGCTGCACTAGTAAAGTCACACTATGAATAGTAAAACCTAAAGCATCTAGGAGGCCAGGAAGTTTATATGTTGTTTGAGAAGATTGGCGTTTCTTTTTGATTTTTGCACTGTTTTCTTTTTGTAGTGGAGCTTTACCCAGACGTTCTGGCAGACTGTCCTTCTCGAAGCTGCCTGCTATAAGCGAGGAGCGAAGTGGCTGCGCCAGTGGCTCATCACTGAATCTGCCCTCAAACACTGCAGAAAGCGAGATGACGCCAAAACCATTACAGCCAGTACATGTGGATGCTATAGAAGAGCAGAATTTACCAACAGGTAATCGTGCTTCCGCGGCTCTGTGTTTGACTTTCTGGATGAAGTTTTCTGTAACTCTTAAGCTTTCACTGCTTGCAGAATGCCCTACTTCTTTACAATCAACACTTCCTGGCACCTCATTTACCGAACGATTTATAAATAAAGCGATGCGAGATTTTTCCAGCACTGTTCCAGTTCCACCTCCTCGATCTGGTGAGTCTTTTTTGCGCATTTAAAAACAACGGCACTGTATCTTTTTATTTGCAAAGTTTCATTCAAAAGGTATAACTTACAAACAAAAAGATGCAGCATTAGACAAAGTTCTGAAGATGTTTTTTTTAGCCAAAGTTTTTAGCGTTAGTTGTTTTCTCGGGAGAAATAAAGAGATCTTATACACGGTAAAAGTCAAATCAGTCTCACAAGGCACTGTTTCATATGCATCGCTTGCTCTGTTAACAACTATGAGTCGGCCCTTTTATGGTGCTGTCACTCGCTTTTTCGAGGATTGGTCAGAAGCAAGCTGTTTGTGGGCATAACTTCTTGAAATGTGCCAGTATTCGGAATTACAGTTGCAGTGCTTGGTCCACTGGAACCCTATAGTTTTGCAAGTACCGGCCAACTCAAATGAGGTTGTATAATTTGGCTTCTTCGCGAATATCAGATAAACATAGTCGACTGTTCCTCCATTCCTCTTTCCTCTTGTCGCTGCACCTTGCCAGCAGCAATGCTACACTTTCCGATACTTTGAAAGGATTTCATTGCAGTGCATCACGCTGCTGAGGATACCACTATATTGCAAGAAACTTTACAAAATGTGTCCGAACCAATCGTTTATTCTCCGTTGGCAAAGAAAACCAAATTTGAAGTATTTTTTTTTTTCAACATTCCTTAATATGTGTTGGAAAATTTACAGGCGATTTTAATCATTCGTTCCATTCGGGCAATGCATCTTTATTGCAGGTTTACGTAGAAGGAGACGCAGCAACTGAATCAGACGTTCCATTCACTGTTTTCACTGATGAAAATGAACATCTGGACGTTGTTGAACAAAGGTTCACGTACTGTTGCTGCTATTGTGCTCGCAGTGAATTAGGGGATCGCTTTTGATGTGGGGTAAAGTATGATGCCGATGGAAAATGCATCATTTATTCAGTACAGACAATATTATATATACTAACGTGATAACTTAGCTGCAACATTTCTACATTATTTGCACTGT